ATGTCTTTTTCCGTAGTGGCAGGTTGGCAAAATGACAAAACCTGATGGTGGTAGGTCCACATTATGTCAAGTTTTGTCAAGCGCAATTTGTCTTTGTATATCTGTTTACTATGTTGGAAATTCAGTACAATTTCATCACAGTCAATGTGAGTATTTAATGCAGATTTTATCTTTATGAAATATTTTTGGTGGTGGGCGGTTGACAGAGACCCTTTAAGGCTATGACCAGATTTCTTTCAGTTTTATATCCTTATAAAATATAAGCAGACGTCAGGGTTTTTGTTCTCAAATGTGTCACATTAAAGGATTTTTGTTTCTGTTCATAGGATTAAGCAAGTACAAGAGTCTCTATCCTATGTAGGCCCCAATGTAAAGGGATTCTATAGCGTTAGGAATAAAAATGTTTTCCTAATACCATAATGCCCTTTGGTCCCCCCCCCCCCACGGCCTCTCTTGCAGCACACAAAGGGCTAAAAATCCTTAATTTACTTACCTGATTCCAGTGCAGATGTCCCTCGGAGCTGGGTGGGCACTCATCCTCAATCCCACTCATCCGAAGGGGGAGACCTAATGCGCATGCCTCAATGTATTCCTATGGGGATTTCACTGATGCTATAAACCCTCATGCAGAACGTGAACAAGTCCGGAGTCATTTATTGGAACCCAGAGAACGGTAAACTCCAGGAAGCGCATCTGAGAGGCAGTCTTAGTACTGCAATGTAAACATTTCAGTTTCTCAAAAAACGCAATGTTTTGTATTGCAGGGCTAAGGAGGACAGGGACATTGCATCCAGACCACTTCGATGAGAGACTATAGTGTCCCTTTAATATTTTTGGATAAATTTTTCTAATTCTTTTTGGATAAACTTTTATAATGGTTTAGTATTTTGAAAAATATTTTAATATTGTAATATTTAGATTTTTTTGTATATTGATATATATTTACATATATTTTTGATATTCTGATATTTAAAAAAAAATTGTAAAAATTTATCTAAACAATATGCATAACTTCATCTCATAAAGGGGTTAAACTGACAACAATGTCATGAATTATCATCTATAGCAAAATTAATAGTTTTAAATGTACCAAACGAATCTCTGTACACCTTGCACTACCCTCTCTACCTTATCTCTAGGTATTTTAGAGAAAAGGCAATCTGAAAATCCCTGCAGTTTAGCAAATCAAATGGTTCTATACTACATTCCCATTGTGAATTTCAAAGTGCTACTTCTGCTGAGCTGGGAGGTTATCTATGAGCCTAATAAATAAAGATCTTTTCCGAGTCTTCAGTGCAATATTTTAAGAGCAGCAGCGAATCTATTCATGCTCATCAGTGCTGTGAATGCCTGCTATGCCTTATTAAGGAAAGTAAATTTTTGTAGGCAGAATGGAATTATTACAATTTGTAAAATAGTGTTTAAAAAGCAAAAGCAGCATCCCTCCAAACAAGTGGTTGGTATCTTGAATCAAAAGGTAGCATTTTTATGCTGAAGGCTTTTTTTGGATTTCCTGCAAGGCTAGCACTGCCCATACATCTGGCTTCTACTGCTTATGTAATGTACACTGAAATTTTCATCTGGTACGCTGGGTTGGAGATCATTGAGCTACGCATAATAGTCTGTCTTTTTAAATAAATTCCAATGTGCTTTTACATATATCATCTTGAATTACTTTAGCTTATTACTATGGAAAAAGGAAGAAAATATCAAAGCCCCCCATTGGAGAACACAATTTGGAAAATGCACCAGCAAAGCCAGCAAGACGCAGGAAAAGAAGAAAATCTATTTTTGTGCAGAAGAAGAGACGGACATCAACTGTAGATGTCACTGCAGTGGAGTCAGCTGAGGTATAATGATTTTTAAAGTTGTCTTTCTGGGGAGATAAATAAAACATCAGTGCTGGGACATTTTTATATTCTTTTTATTAATATATTGGGAACATATTCTATAGTGCTTTAAAATTGGTAATCAAGACATATAGGTCATGAAAATGTAAGAAGAAAGTAATTTGTCAAGTGGGGAGTGATTACACAAGGGTACTGTATGGAAGGCATTAATTGTAAACCTAGCACACTATAGACTATATATCAAAAATATATAGCCTATAGTAGCAATAGAGTAAGAAAGTAATTGTAAGGGATTTATAAAATCAAACATTACATTGACTTATTGAATGGGAAGTTAGTACTTCTAATATTTGATAGCGTTTCATTATTTTATGTGCAGCTTTTTTACAGAGACATGAATACATATAAATATTTATAAAGTATAGTCACTGAACTATAACAAAGCACCGTTAAATGATTTGTTGTATTGATCCGCATATATTATTTATATATTTATAAAATATTTTACCAGGAAGGATACATTGCGATTCCTCTCGTTTTCAAGTATGTCCTGGGTCCACAAAACATTGCATCGATACATTAGGGTACAATAAAATACAAAAACAATATTAATACACAAATGACTTATACACCGTTTAAAAATATGACTCTTTAAATATTCCCTACTGATCTATTGCAACAGAACTTATAAGTTCTGAACTTTAATATTGCTGTACAGATAATGAAATTCCAATATAAAAAGACTCAAATTTCCATGTTTCATTAGCCATTGGCAAGTGAATATGTATAAAACATAACAATTTTAATGTACTCATAACAAGCTCATAAAATGATGTCCTCTAGACCAGTAACCCCTTTTCCTGTTTATATAGATATATGTGTAGAAGAAGTAATTTGTATAATCTATTTTTACTCACTCTCCTTTATATAATTATTAGACTTAGTCTCAGTACATGCAATTTAAAAAAAAAAATGATTGTTTACACATTTAGATTTTTTATTTTTTTTTCTGTATCAAAGTTTTCATAATTACCAGCTGCTATAGTATTGTAACTGGCACCACGTTATCCCTCTCCCAACCTTTGAATCACATATTGATATATTCACAGTAATGGCACAATTTACATTTTTCTGGTGACAGGATAGTAGAGATGAAGATGGAATGGAGGAAGAAACAGGAAGTGAGGAAACAAGTTCAGAGCTGCGTGATGATCACACTGACACATCCTCCACTGAGGTTCCATCTTTGCGGCCACGCAGAGCAGTAACACTGAGGAGCAGCATAGAGTCCAACCGGCCTCCTATAGTTGAGAGAACTAGAAGAGACAGAAAAACACGATCCCATTCCTTCCCCGAGGAGGACAAAAGCACTACTGAGAAAAATGTAAGTTTTCTTAATTCTTATGTAGCAAATGGATGGCTATATCACAATAAGTGCTGGTGCTTTTCTTTTACAACAGTGTCGCAACATAATATAAAAATCTGCTTTAGTCATATTTGCTTAATCTTCACAAAAAAGGATGTTAGAACCGGCAGTATACTTCCCGCCCTAGGGATGAATGGCAAGATCTTCTTTCTGCAATATATCCACATCAGGTTAACATAGCACAAAAAAAACAAACATACAAACAAAAAATAATATACATATTTTATATATATATATATATATATATATATAAAATATGTATATTATTTTTATATATGTGTTCGGGGCATCAAAAGCCATAATGTTAGAGGTGTTGGACATAATGAAATATGACAAAGTTGGTTGTGGTGTGTCGGAACTGATGATGTAGTAGACCTGAAACAAAAGATGGCCTACCCTGTATAAAGATAAGAGAAAAAGTGAGTGGTGGGGGCAAATCGCCAGACCTGAAACCAAGCCCTCCCCAAAACTACAGGCCCAGCCTTACTTATATATAGCACTGTTTAGGCAGATATGGGTTGGGTCAAAAATTATTTATTATGGCTATAACTGACAATAAAAACAAAAGAAAACACTGACACATTTCACAGAGATTTTTTTTTTTTTAATTGTCACTTTATTTCACAATAAGCATTTATATGGATTATGTAAGTAGGTTTTATCTCTTGTATCATTTATTGTCCAGTGGATGTAATTTGTGTGTTTGCCCACTGAGATTTCTGGGAGTGGATTTTAGGCACGGTTTCAATCTTCGTTTAATTTTTTATTCTGTTCAAAGCTATGATATTTGAAATGTCACATTGCGCAGCAGTCATTTTGTTTGAGAGTCACCTCAATTAAAATATTAATACCAGAGTTTTAAATTATACGTGTTTGTGAAAGAAATATTCACCCTTCACCTGTTTTTTTGGTTTTGTTTTGTGTTTTGCTAGGATAAAAAGCAGGAGGAAGAGGAACGCCTTGTTCTTGAAAGTAACCCTCTGCATTGGACGGTTACCGATGTTGTTCAGTTTATAAAATCTACAGATTGTGCTCCTTTGTCAAAAATATTTCAAGAACAGGTAAGTGGGTGCTTATCTTATCTCCTAGCTATCTTAGGAACACCCCCATTGACCCCAACATGTAAGTTGTATTTTTATTATAACAAGCAAGTATATAATAAACTATATTTATTGTCTATTTGTAGGACATCGATGGCCAAGCCCTTCTTCTCTTGACTCTCCCCACGGTGCAGGAGTGTATGGAACTTAAACTGGGTCCCGCTATCAAGCTTTGTCATCAAATAGAAAGAGTAAAATTTGCATTCTATGCACAATATGCCAACTAAACATTATATTTTAATGTTCTGGGCTAATATTAATTATTAAGATTTATAAAGATACTGAAGCATGTTTTCTTTTGCTAAAATGTTTTGTAGAAAAAAAAAAGCCCTGGTCTACGTACATAATAATTAGCATTGCTACATATGTAGAGCACTTTGATAGACCAGCTGTTTATATCTTTGCTTTTTACTTTTGTAATACAAATAGCTGTGTTCATTCATAGCCGTGAATTAAAAAAAAAAAAAAGCAAAACAAAAAATCTCTCTTTAGAAGTTTTAACAAAAGCAAACAAACAAAAAAATTTTAATAACAGGCTTTGTGTTTGTCTGACTTTGAACGTAAAGGCATATTTTAGCATGTCTGATCTTTTAGCAAATTTTGTAATCTTCTTTCATATTGAAAGTGTGTGGTCGTTTTTACCGTGATCTGTGGCTTACATGAAAACTTTGATATCAATGGTTAGCACACTTTCTACTGTTCCTTCTTTCCATTTTTATAACAATACCTTGATTGAATGTTTCTCTTTTACTACTAGGTGAACTGTATGACACACTTTAGTTTAATAACTGTGTTTTCCCAAAGGAAACCCATATGTAGTAATCATTGTCATGGGTATATTGTAACCTAATTCTAAATGGTAAATCGTACAGACACAGACTATATAGCTGTGATATCATTTGCAATCAGAGTTATAATTTTTTTTTTTTAGCAAAACATTTTTCAATATCTTCTGTTATCAGGATCTGTAGGCAATATTATGTACATGCAGCATAACTTAGTAGGTATGTAGGAAGAAGGGGTCATGGTTGTATAACATGATATTAGAAGGAGTAAGCATAGCTTCATGTTATTTATTTACTGCAAACTCTGAGAAACATGTTCCAAAGACAACTATTTTGTTTTTATCAATATTGAGTATGCCACTAACTAGGTATACGGATCAAGATCCTGTCATTTCACACTATGGAAATTTGGCAATTAATCTTTTTGTTATGTATATATATAATGCATATCACAAAAAGATAAGAAATATTACTGTGAATGAATCTATAGCACCAAAGAGATGACTAATTTATAACTCGTACTGGAGTAAACCCTAACTCTATGCTAAATTGTTTTTTATGCATATCTCACAACAATCCCACTTTTGGCAGAGACAGTCCTGATTTTGGGGTTCTTTCCTGCTTAGTTTCTTGATGTTCCATGTCTGGGTGTACCAGGAAACCGTCCCCACTTAGCACAGTGTGAGCTCGTGACCATGCAGAGGCTGGGGCTATCCAGATAGCTTTTTTGGGTGAACTCACCTCTTTTAGGTATCGCTAGTGACGCAGGTCACCTCACTGGTGACAGTCCTCAGGGCCCCATCCACGCCCTTCCCTATTCTCCCTCCAGATTTTTAGGAGGTGTATTTTATGTTTGACAGATTACTATATGAATTTAAGTGATTGCATCCAATTGAGTAAATAATGGTAAAATAACACACGAGTCATCCATTAAAAGGGAGGGTAGCACTTTGTAAATATTGTCTGTCCTTGATTTGCTTGGAAATTTTTCAGTGACTTTGTCACAATGTTCCTATTTGAAATTCTCTCAGAGCACTTGTTGACATCATATTTAGATCAGTGGTTCTTAGTAGGTTCTTATGGGCCACCAACAGTTAAAGGACCACTATAGTGCCAGGAAAACAAACTCGTTTTCCTGGCATTATAGTGCCATGAGGGTGCCCCCATTCTCAGGGTCCCACTCCCGCTGCGCTGAAGGGGGAGGAAGGGGGTTAGTCCCTTACCTTTTTTCCAGCGCCGGACTCCATCGGCGCTTGGACTCTCCTCCCTCTTCTGATGTCATCGGCTGAATGCGCATGCAATGAGACAGCCACTAAAGGCTGGATTAACCCTAATGTAAACATAGCAGTTTCTCTGAAACTGCTATGTTTACAGCCGAAAGGGTTAATCCTAGATGGACCTGTCACCCAGACCACTTCATTGAGCTAAAGTGGTCTGGGTGTCTATAGTGGTCCTTTAAGGTTTTCTTGGTTTCCCTGATGAAAAAGTAATCTACAGATTCTGGATGACTGGTGATTCACATGTACTGAGTTGAGAGCCACTGCTCTAGGAGCATTCTATTAAACTTTAGTCTGGGGGGTGATGAGTATGGGCAACTGATGTTGGCAGTGTTTTTTGGGTTAGGACTGTTTTATAAATTTTGCCTCCCATTCATCAGTGTAAATGCATTGGTGAGTTTTAGCTGCCATGTTTCTATATAGAGATGTGTTCTAATTGGATTGATTGTACTTCTGCAAAGTAAATAATAGGTCTGCCACTATGATCACTATTTTATTACCATATAGTTTACTCAGTCTGGTCTATACATACAGGGTTATTTACTAAATTGAGAAAAAAGGGGCTCCGTCACCGCACACGTACCTTTCTCCCATTTTTTCCTCTTCTCTTCCTCTGTCAGAATCTGTTCTTCTTGACAAAGGATGTAGTTTAAGGTAAGTTGCTCCCTTTCTCAAGATTACCAAGTGAAGAAAAAATACACGTTTTTTTTCCCTATATAAATTTTTATTGAATTTTAACATATTGTACAATATTCATTAAGACAAAAAAAGACTAAAAAACAAAAACATGAACAGCAAACAAAGACAAAGTGGTGTATAAACACTATCACAAGTATCTTCAGTGCTATAATCCATATTTGTACATATATGCTGTCATATTGATCATTTCATAACAATCTTTTTTTCTTTTTTTTTTTAACATTTAAAAATTATTTAATTCAATATGACGTACCAATTAAATCATATATTCCCCTAATATAGCCATTAATTATTTAAGTTATTTAAACATTTAAACATGTAAACATGACCCTACTCTAATCACAATTTATCATCTACCAATATATTTATTATCAAAATATTTGTTATAATACATATATTAATCCTTATTCTTCAAATTAAGTTCAGTGAATACCAAATTCCTTCTTATAGGTACAAGTTTCTAACCATAAACCATTTCTGACATCTTTTAATATATTTTTCTTCAATTCCTACCAATCGGCTTGCCATTCTCTCATATGTACTTGAAGAATCTAGTCGGGACATAATCTCTTTGAACAATGGTGGTTCACCATTGTTCAAATACACACGTTTTAAAGAGAAATAGATCAGAAAAGAAGAAAAGGAACAGATTCTGACAGAGGAAGGGAAAAGGAAACAATAAAAAGGTAAGTTTGAGGTGACAGAGCCACTTTAATGCCAACATTGCCAAACTGAAAACAAAACTGATGCGAAGAATTATTTGAATTCCAATTTTTTTATCATCATTAATTTTGATTTTCTTTTTTTTTTTTTTAAATACTTTAAATTCCCAGAAATTCTAGTTTAGTAACCCTTTAGGTTTACCAAGTGTGAATCACAACATACTGACCACACAGTATAATCAACTTGCGAGAATGTAAAATGTGTTATGTACAACCGAAGGGGCTTAAGGCCAGGTTACAATATATTTATTCAATTCTAGTGAAATATGAAATATATATTTTTTTCAAGCACAAAACTCAATATAGCTTTGTTGTTCAAAAATAAAAACAACTAAACATTAAAAAAATAAATAAAAATGAAGCAGGTTTTTACCGTCTATCTTCAAGGAGAATAATAATGAATTTTAAACAAACATTACTTTTTACATTTCCTAACCTGTTTGACAAATATAATTAAGTACAAGAGTGCTGATCTACTTGTTAGACTATACATCAACAGTTACATCGATCATTTTACACACAAACTAAAATGTAAAGATTTTTGTTTAAGCATGCACTATGAAATACACTTACTACTTGTGTATAGTGCCAATGCAGAGAAAAAAACAAAATAATGTGTGCATTAAATACATTTTTGATCTTTTTTTCTGCTATTTTTTGATCTTTTCTTCTGCTATTTTAGGAAAAATAAGTTAGAGCATATGTAATCGCAGTTTCAGTCTGATATTTTTCTGTTTCTTTGTCTAAGAAAATAGTGTTTTCTTTATTCTAAGAAATAGAACCCCATATTCTGTAGAATTATGTCAATAAAAAGTGTCAAGTCAATAACTGTTTGTATCTTAAACCAAGTCAACTATCATAGAGAGGGTCATTCATCCTTACATAAAAATATACAGCTTCATAGAATTCTTTTTATGGCTTGTTATATTCTTGGTAAAAGGCTCATCATTCTGATATTTATCTCCAGATTTCTACAAAATACATTTAATAAAGCATTATTTAACTGTGCATGCAAGCTATGAAAATAATCATCAACCTGCATGTTGTGGAGACTGTGTTATTTCCAAGTTCCTCCAGAGGGCAAACACAATTATGTACTAAACTGTGAGTTGCAAATTTCATACCAGAATAGCAGAACTGGAAATTGTATCTGAGTCAGTTGTGCTTCAAGCTCATATTTTTTTGGCCTTAAATTAGTCTATGGAGTTTCTTCCACAACATTTGGTGTTTGGTAAATAGACATGATTCACTGATTAAGGTATTTCTTTATATAATGTAAGTGGACCTTTTTAGAAGGGTTCAGTGGAAATTGGTCTTAGAAACAGATCTACTAATTGAAAATCAAGTATTCTGGTTCAGCAAACTTTTAAAAGAACGTAGAATATTTCCTGTAGAACGTGTGTATGTTCATATATCATACATTTAAATATATATTAAAAAAAAATATTTAAGATAAGCTGCCTTTAGTTAAATGATAACTCAGGTCATACAGGCAAACAGGAAAGACTTTTTCTAACTTCATTGTAGCTCTGAGCATTTTTTCTTCCATGTTTTTTTTTTTCTTTCTTCAATTTGAAATCCCATACGATATTAGAAGCCCAATTACCTTTGGTAACATTAATGCTTTGTGGATAATTCCTCAATAATGAATATATCACATCTGATGATATATGGTCCTGGACTTATTAAATACTATAAATACAAGCTCTAAAAAAAATCTATAATAAGAAAGCAAATATTTGTTTTAATGCACTGGCAATCTTTAAGCTTATTTTTATTTTCCTGTTAATTGTATGAATGTATTATTCATTTAGCAACCTGAACCAGAAAGTGATTTCGCATTTTAATTTTATTTTAAGGACAAAGATTATTATTATTATTCTGTAGGAAAGGTGACTGCATTAGTTTGTGAAGACAAATATTGAATTTTTCCCACATAGCTACTGCCCAAATTTGTTGTTACAATGGTCTTAATGGGTAGTAAAAGTACCCAATATAAGGTTAACCCAAAATACTTTAGTTAGAATATGTGCAGATCATTATACAGAATTCTATGCGGCACTTCTGGTTAATGAAAACAATAGTACAGCACATAAATATTTTGTAAAACTCTATGCTATATTTAGCAGAGAGTGATTTAGTTTTTGTTTTGTAGTCTGTAAGAGTCACAGTCCCATTGTGTGTATTCACTTTCTTCAGAGGTTCTTATACCATGTTACATCATGTTTTCTACATTATCTTAGACAGTTATTGGGAAGTTCTGAAATGTGCTTTTTCACCTCTTTCCTTGGAACACAGGCCAATTGCATACTTTCTACAGGCTTCTAATGAAATGCCTTTGATGTTACAAATTGTTGCTTGTATACAGATTAAATTCTAGTATGGTAGCATGCTGCTAAAACGTCATTAAGCAGGAAGCAGCATGTATTTTTAATATGAAATGTATTTATAAAAATAACCCATGAGCACAAATGGTAATTTCCCCATTTATACTCTGATTAACATATAGAACATAGGGTTTAATCAGTGCATAATCAATTGCTACAGTTAGGCTAACATAATTAAGCTGGGAAAATATGAATTGGGGATTTTTTTTTACATATTGTCTATTTTAGCTTGCATTTTACATATCATGTTTTCCTACCCACAAGAATGCACTGCTTACGGTATAAACTCCAGTGTAATTTGTCTTACTGCTGTAAAAGTATTCTGCAGCCTTAAAGGAACACTCTAAGCAGCATAGCCGCTAAAGTGTAACATAGTGTTTATTGTGGCTTAATATGAGCCCCTGCTCCCCCCATTGTATGTAGTCAAACTATCTTATAACAGTTTTTCTTCATAGCTAGGCACTGTATTGGCTAAGAGTTATCTCACTTCTAGCTGGAGTGGTGTCTGGCGAAACCCAAGTAAGTGATTAAACTGTTTGTAAATGGCTTGACTACTTACATTTGTGGTGCACCAGGAATTATAACCACTAAAGCACTCTGTAGTGGTTATGGTGTCTGGAGTGTTTCTTTAAAGGTTTACCCCAAGCATCATAGCTATTACAGCATGCTGTAGTGGTTATGATGCCAGGAGTACTAGTAACCCCTAGTCTCCTGCTTACTTGGTGATGTGCCAATCCCATTGACATTAATTGCTGATCACTATCAGTCAAGGAATGGCATTCTTTGCATAGAACTATGCACAGTATTGATATTAGACAACCAAGAAATCTTGTTCTGGGCTAGCTAATGATACCCCAGTGACACTGCCCAAGGGGGAGTTACACTTTGGGCAACAAAGGGATTAAGCTTAGTATGTATAGTGTTTCAAAGTTAAAGGGACACTATAGTCACCAGAGCAACTACAGCTTATTGTATTTGTTCAATTATTTCTTTGCAGGTAGAATGTTGTGTTATTGTCTAAACTAGGAATTGAGAACATTTAAAAATGAAATTGAACATTGTAGGTCAAATAGCTGATCTAAACAAAAGAAATGTCCAATTATTTCTCCAGCTTTTGGTATTTGCAATTCTCTTATTAGTTCTCTATAATTCCCGCTTTAGCAAATAATTGCAAATGTCTGTAAACCACAACTTACTCTTAAAACCTTTTTCAAAGTTACACTATAATGCATATTTATGTTGAACATTCTTATGAATAATTTTGATGAATTGTGCGTAATTATTTAAAAATTGCCGAAAGTGCACCAAACAGTTAAATACAGTCACATTTAATTCTTTATTGGCTCCTGATACACATTTTACTTGAATTAAGATGTCTCTTTTAAAGGGAAACTCTATATCCAAAAATGCATATTTTTAATTGCTCTATTAATTGTTGCAAACAAGTATGCATTTACTAAAATGTGTGCAAATATTTCCCAAGCCCTAAAATTTACCTTTCAGGACTAAATAAGATCTGCCTCTTTTTGCCTAGCACTTACTTCCTTGTTTGGCTGGCACATTGTCCAATCAAATGTTTCTCATAGAAGACAAATCGACAAATCTCCCTTCCAATGCTTCTCAAAGAGATTGGTGGCTTTATTGAGATTTAAGGTTTTGAATTAAAATTCATGCCACAGAACTTTAATAGCTTGAGTTTTTAGAAATATTGATTTTATTGGAGTTGTGGAAATCAACAACCACATTGTTGACTCCTCTCCTTTTATATATTTGCACCACTTTTTGGTATTCAACACTTTTTATAGATAATCCCTATATGTCTATTGAAGTAATGATTTCTGTATATGGCTATTGTGGACTCTAATTCTCATAATGCTTAACCAACCACAGGACTTTGAATTGTGCCTGTAGTTCTCCATTTCTCCAACCACAGGATGAGGCTGATTGTTCACTCACTATCCATTTATGCTCCTATCAGCCTTAATCAGAAACGCACTGAGAATGTTAGGAGTTATAGTCTAGCAGAGGCAGGCAACTACTTGCACTCGATTTGCTAGTGCTTATGTTTTTTTTTTATCTTCTAACCTCGGAAGTGCAGAGGTAAAAAACAAGGACCAATTTATGATGTTTCATTTTCTTTGCATGGAAGATAGAGTTAAATTGCCTGATTTGCAGGTAGCAGGAGCTTTAACACAATGTATGTAACCACCTAGTCATGGACAACCAGTGAAAGGTATCTGGTATTAGTATGCTGTGTGTGCTGCCACGAAAAGCAAAGATTGCGCAAAACTAATGTGTCCATGCAGGACAAGTTCATTCCATCTGAATGATTGACAGCCCAGAGAGGTGGCCCTAAATGGAAGGGGAAAAAAATATTTTTCTCCAGAATGAAACATTTAAATAAAAAAAAGGCTACTGGGACAGAATCTTTGCACCATTACCACTCAACTAAAATTAAGTGATTATGGTGCTTAGGGCAACCCTTTGAACAATATGATGTTTACTACATTTTGGACAAATAAATACCTCTTATGCCTTAATGAGAATGCCATCTACACCAGTATTGTACAGCGTTCTTCAACTCGGTTTTATCAAATATGTTCAGGCGTTTGTCAAAATGCAGGGTGGTGTCACTATACACAACCTGTTTATATTTCATTTTTATTAGTTTGATTAATAAATAAATATTTAAAGGGATTATATTTACTTTTCAGATTTGTTTTCTGAGATAAGTACAGTTTGTACATTATCGGATTTGCTGTATTTTGTATTTAACTTCTGCAGTTTAATTTGAACTTTATGAGTAATATATACCATTGTTAAAAAATAATATATACAATTCCAGTAAATGTTGCCTATTCCTGAGTCCAGAATTACTAACTAGTACTTGCCCCTTTATCCCCTAAAATAGTAATATATCTCACGGACATTATTTTTGTTAAATAGAATCATAGAGATTTTTTTTTTTGTTAATTTATTGCATCTAATTATTAAATTAATTTTTATGTACATAGTGATAAGAAGTTATTTTTCGTATGTGTTCTGAAATGTGATTATATGGGGTACAGAATGCCTATTAAGATGTAAAGTCCTTGGCAGAATTTAGTAGATTAAATGTGTTCTCTGTTAAAAATTGATAAGTTCTCCTGAGCTTTATTCCCCAAAAGTCAACTTTTAGCTTCTTAACTTGGTTGGTAAAAGCTTGGTTCAGCTTCAGTAATTTCCAAGATGTTCACAGTACTCTTCAATAATTTAGAGCTTAGCCCCAAAGCAATGTGCAATAGTGGAAAATCTGCTGCATTGGGACTTATAGACATATGGTGGAGCATATCAGTTGCTCAGGTCAGCTGTCAGTGTATTTTCATTTAACTCCCGAGTAGTGTTTGTCCTAAACATGGTTAACTATGGAGTTCAATTAAATCTCTTTCAAATTTAGTGACTGAGTTGATAATTCTCTGGGTTTGACATCCTGTGCTATTTTGGCCATGCATTTATTCCATAAACCCACTAAACCAATGATGGTTAACCATCACCATTCACTCGAGCTTGTGAATTGCTATTCCCCAAAAAACTAGATGATCATAATGGGAAATGCCTACAACAACTATCTCAGCCCTGGTCTTCTACCAAATCATCTATGATGATTTGATTTCCATAGATTTCTACTATGAATTTGGCAGGATCCAATCTGCCAATGTGGTTTGAGATCTAAATGTGTTTGCAAATTTCTGACTTGACAGTTGTCTGAAATATTCACTGCATTGTCTGACATTCATCAACCCTACTACATTTTGTTCCCTAGAAATATACTGTCACGTTCCTCAGAATGAGGTGCCCAATGTTAAAATGGCTGTTACATTCTGGGTCTATTGCAGGTGCCGCTATCTTTCATCAGATCCCGGTGCTTCCTCTGATAGGAGCTTTCCGTCCTGCTAGACTCTCGCACATACATAAAGTACTACTCTTAGATCTATTGGGTAAATTGTAAAACTGCAGAATTCACCATAAAACAGATTTCATGATACGCCAGAAAATGACTATTTCCCACCGCTTTCAAAAAGGATATGGGAATTGATAAAACTCAATGACAATGCTGTCAAATTTAAGGAACACAACACCTCCATAACAATGTCAGCTTATAGACGTTGTTATGGGCCAGTAGTGTTTGGGCCTCACCTTACCATCAGGGGTTAATCTGTGTTCCTCTCTCTTCCTCTCCAAAGTTGGCTCACAACTTTCCACCCAATCACCGCAGTATGAGGAAGGTTTGGCTGAAAATAGTTAGGCTATCACTGACTGTCAATTAAGAGAAATATTTATGTTGCAAAATTGAAATTGTAAATTTTTTGCAATACTTCTATTTTCTTAACTTGGGCAGTGTCATGTTAATTATTAACTAGACGTGTTATTTGTATTACTTAGAAAATGTTTATCTTTAGTTTCAACTTCTAATTCTTCTGTTGAAAAAGAAGAGGGAGTTTAAAAAAGATATACACAATTTCTCTGAACACAGATAAGAAACATGTTGTGTGGTTTCTGACTGATAAAACAATACATTTGCTATGGAGTATACTGGAGTATATCAATTATTAATTGTTGGTGTAAATTCTTTTGTTGGGGTGATAAATCGCAAGTTTAAGCATACTTAAGGAATTTAAAATTTATTTAAATTACTAGCCATCCTAGAGAATCCTCAACACTCAAATGGATTTTTAAATCCCTCTGTTCTGGCCCTTTCTGCCTTATTTTCATCATTATAACTTTTATTCTTTAGACATTTTTAATTACAGATCCACATAGCTCCAGTGTCAAAGTAACACAATACTTTTAGAATTATTCACTATAGTGAGGATAGGTGGAATTCAAAGTTAATTCAGTACATTTCAAAATGTAGGCCTAACATAACAACATTCGTAAAACTTTTAGAAAAAAAGTATGTTCTGTTTCCAGGTTGGCTAATAATTATTTTAATTCAGTTATTTTTGTCTTAAACTTTGAAATTTATTTGAAATTAGCTTTGGATTCTGACACTTTTCACCTTAGTGAATAACTATAACCCAGTCAAAAGTTTTTCTGCTCTACAGAAACAAAATACAAATACCTGATACTGAAGGACTTACTAAATCAACATTTGTTTTTCAAGAAGCACAGTTAAAATATGAAACATTTTACAGGTATATATCTGAATAGTTATCTTTGTAGACAGGAGTATAATCTGCTGACTGCTATGCTTCTTTTTATAGTAAATACAATTAAGACTAGAATATCTGAATTGGAGGCCTCACAATTTCAACAGGACAGTCTTGATTTTTGTGTCCTGTCCTGACTTTAGCCATTTTCAGTGATTTCCGATCTAATGATACACATAACCTTGAAAAACACTGTGGGTCATTAGAGCCACTGCGTTCTTCAAGGTTCTGTGTATTTCCTAAACATTATCATAGGTGCCAACAGTCCTGGGTTTGCTGGGGCGCTCCGACATTTTGGAGTACTATCACAGCAAATATAGGTCTCGGGGCCGGTCCTGCATTTTGAAACTAGCATGCAGATTTCAAAAGGCATAAGATGACTGTGCACTACGACCACACACCAAGCACTTCAACAACGCTCTGTGCATGGCCCGGGCCCTTGATGGCTGGATACACTCCTTAACTGACCATACACACCCATTTGGTGGGCAGGCCCATTCCCTTTGCCACCCAGGCCCGCTCTTTTTGATGACTGTCACGTCCCCTGTGACGACCTTCATGCACCCTGCATGTCTGCTTTCTTTTATGTCAGTCTCTGTAATGTAAGGTGGGCAGGGAATGTTATCAGATATGTATGATGCTCAAAAGGGTTAATTCACTAAACTCAAATTTATAACAAATTGAAAATTAATGGCAAAATTCAGACTAAAATAGCTCATCTGTGACTTTAGCCGAGTTGGAGAATTTTTCCATGTCTGCTAATTTTGCTTTAATTTTACCATTAGATTAAAAATTTTGAGTTTAGGAAATAAACCCTAAAGTGTTACAAGATAATATGGTGAGGCTGGCAAATATAATAACATCTGCATGAAGGAACAAAGTAACAGCAATAGAAGACTATTACCTGACAGAGAAATCAAATGATAGTAGTATTAAGTAAGGTACAGCAGTAATACTAAGCAAAATTCTGTATATTTACTTTCATAGACATAATATCACATCTTGTCACCATTCCAAGTGGTTTGTATTAAAGTTGTATACGGTTTATGCAAGTGCATCACTGCATTTTTGTGTCTCAGTTTTTTGGCTAAAGGCATGCTATTGTTTTCTGTAAGATTGCATTCTGTATATACGCTTTCATGTAAATAACTAAAAATCTATTTACAGAGTTTTATTTTAATTTGTATTAAAAACCTTTTTCTACTTGAAAGAAATGTAAACCACCCTGTTAATAAAGTGACATTAAATAAATTGTTGTCATATGTTCTCTGAATCCAATACATGCATTACACATTGCTGAGAAGGAGTATGATATGATCCACTCTGTCAATTATCTGCTAATAATAAGTGTTTTGTGTATCATCTGTCAGCATGGCACGAGAGTGTCACTTGACTTCAATATTTCAGTCTTTACACATTGATTGACTCTGTCAGCCAATATTTAACATGTTTTATGTCTCAAAGAAAAATGGTTTACACAGTAGCTTTTTTTAAAACCTTGAACATGCTGTAATTCTGATTTTACAAAAATATTGTGGTATATTTTTGAATATTTAATGAGTACACATGCACAGATATTACTATACTAATATTGATTGTATGTCTATCACATACCACCCACCATTGCGGCTTCTGTTTTTTCTCTCTCTCCCTCCACAAAATCCTCTTCTCCTGTCTCTCTGTATGGCCGTTGATTTGTATCAAGCTCAAAATCCGTTCTTCATCTCCCTCTCTCTACTTCCATCTTCCTCTCTCATTCTGCTTTTTTCTTTTTTCTTTTTTTTTTAATTCGTTATTTTTACTTTGACAGCCGGCATGAAATGCAACAATAATGGTAAGACACAGACAAAACATTAATTCCGTAAATTTTGGGCTTCAACGGAACATTACATCGAAACATATGATATTACATTTTGTACATTGAGATGTTGACATAATAATCATCACCCATGCCTCCTTGCTGGCTTGTGAGTACGCACCACCAAATCGTTTTTATCTAATGAAAAATAATATAAGAAAATAATAACAAAAATTAATAACTTAACATTTTTAGATGGCTATCATATCAAATGATAGAACCGTAAAATTAACCATTTGCTGTGCTAGGACAGTTGGGCCCCATAAAAGCTGGGCTTTTCTCGCCTCTTTAGAAAGTATAGCGAGAAAGAGACAGAATGGAAAAGGAGAAAGACAGTAAGGAAGATAGGAGAATAGACAGTCGTCTTCATGGAAGTGGTATGAAATTGATACTTCACCTGAGCCTCAGCAATTTGTTGGACATGTCATTCTCCCTTTTCTTCTCTCTCAATGAATATATCCATTTATGTATAAAGGGAGCAAGTCTTGCAGGTGCTGCTATCTTTCATCAGCTCCCTGTGCTTCCTGTGATAGGAGCTTTCCTTCCTGCTAGACTCTCGCACATACATGAGAGTACAACACTTAGATCTATTGGGTAAATTGTAAAACTGCAGGATTCACTAGAAAACAGATTTCATGATACGCCAGAAAATGACTATTTCCCCACCGCTTTCAAAAAGGATTTGGGAATTGATATAACTCAATGACAATGCTGTAAACTTGAAGGAACACAACATACTTCACCTGAGGCGCAGCAATTTATTTTACATGTCATTCTCCCTTTTCTTCTCTCTCAATGAATATATATATATTCATTTATGTTTAACTGGAGCAAGTCTTCTCTGCACTATCTATTTCCCTCACTTTCTTCCCCTCTTCTCACACTTGGTTTCTTTCTTTAGTCCTAGAAAAGAGGGACATTAAAAGAGGGAGAAATGGATTTGAGTTCAAAATAGGGACAGTTCCCTCTTAACAGTTACACTTGGGAAATGCCCTTTCCCTCCCTCTTTCTTTTTCTTCTATAATCTATCTCTCTCTTAATGGGTCATAATACTGGCAAATAGGGAGACATTTGTTGAATCAAAATATGACACAGAAGTATGACACAGAGTCATATTTCTAATAAATTAACCCCTTTTCAATGCTCGAGAGAAATTCACCGTCATGGCAGTCCTACTCTTAAGGATGCATGATGAAAAATGTCAATCCTTCCACCTCTGTATAAGCAGTGAAGTGAAAAGAGATGGATCTTCTTCTCTGTGTTAAAAAAAAGTGTTAGTAATCAATCCCACCCCTTTACCCTGTTCTAATACAATTTAACTCTTTCCATGCAATTTGATTACTGCCTGCAAGTAAACTTTAATTTTTTTTTTTAAACCTCAAGGGTTAAATTAATTAAATTTATTATTTTAATATTTTCAAATTAATTATTAAGTTACCTGGGGTGGGTGCAAGTTAGTGGGAAATTGGGGCATTTAGTGTTAGATTGGGTAGGGGTTAACAGAAAAAAAAAACAGTTTTAAAAAAGTTTAAAAAGTAAAAAAAAGTCTCAAACATGATTTAAAAAGTAAAAAAAAAGGAGAAAAAAATTACCACTGCACTTGGTACAAGCTAGGAAAAACATTATTCCACACCAAGGTTCAAACTATGCCTTTTGAAATACTCTGGGGTGTCTTCTTTAAGAAATGGTAGGACTTTGTAGGGTTGTTTGAATAAGATACCTGATAAAAAGCTCCAAAATGTAACAAAATTCAAAGTTTGAACACAATTAAAATGGTTATGTCTCAAATGTGTCCCTTCATAATCTACATATACCTGGCAAAGGTACATACAGCGATATTGCTGTAGTCAGATGACATAGCTGAGCAACATATGAAAAATTAAACTGCTGTAGCATACATAAGGTTTGCAAAATATACAGTAAAAACTCACTGTTTGTCAAAAAGGCAGAAAAATGAGAATTTTTCTTGATACGAACTAGAGAATTGGACATAGACTATATGTACTTTTGTGTGGCAATTTTTGTTTTCTGTAATATTTAATAAACTTACTGAAATTTGATTTCTCATTGTACTTTGTGACGTGTAACTTTCAAAATAAACTGAAATCCTACACATATTATGTATTCTGTTAATCAAGACACATAAATTCATTTATTTTGAATTACATTTCCTAAGCTGGACATAGTATACACACGTTATTATTGCCAAAACTATGAAAAAAATTTTATTTGTATTATTTTGTTTTCATTTTGTTTTTAAATAAATGAGAATATATATATATATATGTGTATATATATATATATATATATATATATAGCATCAAATTAAAGTTTCTTTTGTACTTTGAAAATGGTATATAATATGTGTTGGTGCAATAAATGAGAAAAATGTAAATTGCAGTTGAACAAAAACAGCAAAATATGCAAAAATAGCTTGTGTCCTTAAGTGTATATCCAGCTTCTGAAGCTGTGTCCTTAAAGGGTTAAACATTACGCTATTGATCATGGTGTATCATTATTCAAATTAAAACATGTTTAATTAATGATGGGATTGTGTCCAGAATAGGTTTTTATCCCACCCTACAACAATTTATTCCATTGCTCATGACAGTAAAAGATTGTACAGTTGTAAGAACAAATAAACTTGAACTTTATAGAAATGAAATAGTCTGTGTGTAACTAAACTGTCTGATGACAAGTCAGCTTATGGCAAAATAAATAAATATGTGGGAGTTATCCCTGTTGTTTTTTCCCATTCTTATAATTACATCATCAGCACCCAGCTCTCTGATCTTGTAAAATAATGCCTTTTCATTCGCAAAACACACACAACATTTTTCATAATAAAACCTTCTAAGTTCAACTCATCAACATAGAAATAGAAAATCTATTAGAAGCTCAGTTGTGAGCTCTTAATCTTTTATATACAGTGAAAGAGCAAAATGCTTTGTATAAACATTTTAACCTGTTTTGTCGATGATCCTAAATCTGTTGTGACGGTTCTAGGAGAGAATGTTGTGCTGGAATAATCTCAATTTCAGTAAAACGTGTGTCTGTCTTGTAATATGTCAGGGTAGTGTCTGACTATCTGTTACTGAGCAATTAATGGTGATTTGTTATATACCAGCAGTATAAACAGTAAAGATGTCAGATAGAGGGACAGCACTAGAACCCTATGTCCATTTCAGACATCCTTGGATAATTTGAATAGATAGCACGGAAAGCCATCCAGGCAGTAGGTACCCTTTGTGCAAAATTAAAAAAAAAGTGCTCTGTGCAAGAAATGGCAATATCACAGCTGCTACTACACTGATATGGGTATCTCTCCCAACCACCAAAAATGCATGCAAAACAAATATAGGGCTTGGGAGTAAAACAAAATCTATCACCAGCCCCTGAAGTGGAGCACTAGAAAGAGATATACGCTTACTCCTATGTAACCATTAGGATATGTAAGGATCTAGTGCTGAAAATAGGGGAAAAGAGTATATATAGTGTGATACAGGGCTCGACAAATCCCAGGCCAGCTCGCCATAGTGACTAGAAATTTCACCCTGGCACCTGGGATTTGTTATCGCTTTAGCTAAGGCGGCCCCCTGAGGGAGCTTTGAAGTCTGCCACCCTGGGAAGCCTGGTGGCGACCGACTGATAAAATATTAAATTAACACTATAGTCACCTATACAACTTTAGCTTAATGAAGCCCTTTTAGTGTATAGATCATGCTTCTCATGTTTCATTGCTCAATTCACTGCCATTTAGGAGTTAAATCACTTTGTTTCTGTTTATGCAGCCCTTGCCACACCTCCCCTGGCTGTGATTGACAGAGCCTGCATGGAAAAAAAACTGGTTTCACTTTCAATCAGATGTAATTTACCTTAAACAATTGTATCTCTTTCTATGTAAATTAAACTTTAATCACATACAGGATGCTCTTGCAGGGTCTAGCAAGCTATTAACATAGCAGGGGATAAGAAAATCTAAATTAAACAGAACTTGCAAAAAAGGAAGGATACACTGTAGATGACTGTTTACAGGATGTGTTTAGGAAGTCTGTGCAAGTCAGATGCAGGCAGGTGTGACTAGGGTTCATAAACAAAGGGATTTAACTCCTAAATGGCAGAGAACTGAGCAGTGAGAATGCAGGAGCATGATCGATACACCAAAACTGCTTCATTAAGCAAAAGTTGTTTTTGTGACTATAGTGCCACTTTAAACATTTTACCTAGGGTAGTGATAACATGGTTGAATTAAGATTGTCAAAAATTCTCTAAGTTAGATAGCCTGGGAAAATTACCTTCTACAAATATACGGTATACTTATAAAGTTGTAATCCCAGCATGTCACATTTTGCTAAAGTTTTAACTTTAACACCGTAATTAACTTCTTACAATAGTTGTTTAATAACTTCTAAAACTTAATTGAAGTCCTCGAAATATTGGGCATTTTAGCAATCGGACTAATCAGTGAGTATTTTGAGTTAGCTTTCTTCTTTTACACTTGTGTTGAAATTATTAAAGCTGAGAAAAAATGTGTTTCCCCTTTTTTTGTTTTGTTAATATTTCATAATGTGTTATGTATATATAAAGGGTATCAAAGGAAAGCTATATTTCTCCTTTGGAAAAGAT